ATAGAGTGGAAGCCTACTGTGCACATTCGCATAGAATACACAAAAATGGGCAAAAAATCAAGGAGCACTCGCTTGATCCAGCCATATGTTACGGAAAAAATCAATAATTTTGACGTAACGGTTGTTTCTATTCAGAAGTTATCTTTGCCACTGCTAAACAAACGTTTCGCCCTCTCTGGAAAAGAGTCATTTGTCTTACCAGACAAATTCCAAATTCCAGTGGAATGTAGCAGTGAATTGCAAGCTAAACGTAACTTCTCATCATGCACAACAAGTATGCGATGCCATTGTGATAACTCCGTTCATCGATGTCTGTGTCCGGATGATTCGATCAATGCCCTTAGAAATCGCTCATCTTCGAAGTTACCATTGGAAACCCCAGTTTCCACTTTAACACGATCAGGTAACGACGTGGTAGCACTTTCAGATGAAAGCGAATTCACAGTATCAATTGCATCTTCAATATTAGCTGAATCAGTGGAAGAGATATTCTTGGCAGAGTGTGAAGTTCGTCTTAGCAACCTGACTGGATGCTACAGTTGCTTGCATGGCGCTACTGTCGTTGCACATTGCCAATCTTCGTTCGATAGAACAGTTACGGTTTTGTGTGAGACTCAGAATTTTAATATACAATGTTCATCAAGTAACGAATCTACTTCTGTAAATCTAGCAGTTGAACGAGCAATAATTAATGAGAAATGTACTGCACAGTGTCATCATGGACCAGTGTCTATTGCCCTTCGAGGTGCTCTTCATTACCACATATCAGCTGATCCATTGCCGTTCGATGAAGATTCCCACGCAGTGCCTTTGCACCACCAATGGTTTAGCGATATCAGTGTGCCAGACATCACACCGCTAATAGAGATCATACGCAACCATTGGCATCTCGCTATTGCAGCACTCACGTCTACAGCAATTCTCGCAATCGCGACCTACCTAGGTGGTCCTATTGTTCTAGTATACGTTGTCAATGTAGTGATCTGCGTAATCAAAGTAATGATCCGCATAATCATATGGATGCTACGCTTGCTATCAGCTCCAATTGCGTATTGCTTGCCAAAACTAGCAAAATCCAATAAACATGAGCGGATTCCTACAGTTTCAGCTGTTGTAAGCAACTGTTAAACAAAAAGGAGAGGTTTCGCACTATATTTTGCTACTGTGCTGTTTTTTCCCAGAAAACTCCTCTCCCGGAGCGCTACAGTGCCTATCAGCCTTATGATTTCGGTCATAATCAGCTGATAGGTTCCTGTAGCACTTCTTTCTCGCCTGGATTCTTCAAATCGCCAATTCGTCAAACAATTCGTCTACAATCGCCGTCGTCTTCAACAAGCTGCACCTCAACAACTGCTACTACCGTCACCGTCTACTTCTACTACTACCAGCCTCTTTTCGTCATCAATCCAATGGTTCACCCTCAACGACTAGCCGCACAACTCACTCAACGCCACAACCAACCACAACAAGCCGATTATCATCATGCTACTTGTAGATGCAGTTGTGAACACCTAGTCATGTATTTAACTATTATCATTATCCATACGTATGTATCCCCTTGTCTGGCCGGAGTATCATCGACCAATCGATGATTCCTGATACCCGTGCCAAATGACGTCATAGCCGAGTGGGCGGGCCATGTCTGCCATGCGTCCACCTGGGAGGTCTCACCTCACTCTTGATCACACGTTGACCACCCAAGGTCACAATCTCACGCTCTCGGTTACAGTAATCCCAATAAACCACTGAACCACCATTCTTGTTGTCTATTTCACCGTAATACATTGCATACCGAGGCAAACCCCTCGAAGAGTCTACACCCGCTAATAATTTCCTTGTACCTTATCATTCTGTTAGAAAAAAATTAACAATTTTTAGAGATGAGAAGGCAATTTTTGTAGCATATCCCATTAGAAAACTTATGGGCAATTTTATTCGCATCTGCTGGATTGAAATTTTTTCCACCACGACTGTCGCACTGTTTTTTTTAAACATTATTTTGTGAACTAAGAAACTGGTTTCAACAGAAGAGGCTTTCTAAGTTTTTTAAAGGGGGCATTGGTTTAAATTTGGAAATATAATGCGTATTTTAGAGAAAATCTAAATATATCTTGCGTGTTCTTTTTTTTCAGTTCAGTGGCACATAAGTCCTTATGGATTTGTCAAAAAAACCATTTTTTGCAAGGAAATCATAAATTGATGAATTTTGATAATTGCGAAGTTTTTGGGAGCTAATATTTGCGTTAATTTTTTTGAAGCTCAAGGGGGTGGTGGGGGGGGGGGTAAAAAATTACATTTGGCTCTTTTGGCACTTGAAGATGTGTAGACAACTCAATTATCTGCCTTTGTCTCATTATTAGCCCGTATAGCAGCGGTATGGGCTCGCTGACCCATGACCAAAACGTTGCCCATTATTGGCCCATGGTCGAAATTTGTTTCTCAACTGTTATATGGGATGTTTTCACATCAGGAAAATCTAATGCTTTTGATCTTTCTATGACCTCTGGACTATAGAACAAATTGTGCAATATCCCGTCGAAAAGTCTAACATAACATTGAAATCGCCATTTGCTGTCACGAATTGCTGTAACAGGGCTCTTTCTTGTTTTTATTTGCGTGCAAAAGTCCAAAGGTTTTCATTTAAATATGAGACTTTCTGCATATTCTCGTATGACAAATACGGCTCATTATCGTTGACAAGCACGCAACGCTTAGGTGTCTACAACGTTTTTCATCGTCTGCACTTTTATATGTCGTGTTCTCTGCGTTCAAAGGCAATAGGGGCCTGAGATGGCATGAGGAAGTTTTGTCGTCTGGTCAATGTCATAAATTTTAGCTGTTCATGAGAGTCTTTACGAGTGCTTTTGGTTTCGGGGAGAGGAGTGGGCGGGGCGGGAGGGGGGGGGGGGGAGAGAGAGAAAAGATTTTGAGGAACGTCAAGAGCATATACACCCTTTGATTCAAATTGCTTGACGGCTGGGAGGTGGGGCTTCGTGACCTAATTAAGGCTAGATAATGATCGGAGAGCACGTATGTGAGAGAGGTGCAGGCTGCGTTACGGGCGCAAGCGGCCTTAATTAGGTCACTAAGCCCCACCTTCCAGCGGCCAAAGGTGTTGAATCAAAGGAGGTTGGGTAGACGAGATAAAATAAGTTGAGCACAAAAAGGGAATTGCTTGAAAGAATGTTCAGGGATACAACCTTCTTAAGTGAAATTAACTGATAATGTCTATTGTTTAGGCGACAGTCCTTGAGATTTATTCTTGGGCAAGAAATTCTATTCTAATCTTGCCCAGTACCGTAATCTTTACGACCAATTAACGTTGTGGGTACGGTACTGGGTGAGGGTTTAGAGTTGCATATAACGGTCACGATTAACACATATGAGCTGCGGCTTGGGCAGTAGCTTGAGGCTTTCCAAAGTGTTCGTTAAAAGAACTTAGGCACTCATAATTGTTGGGACACTTCCTTCAGATGCTACCTTTTGTTGGAGGACCTTATGGGTGCTTGTGGAAGGAGGCAAGTGAGGAGAACGAGGAAGCTAAAGCGTGTGAAAGATGGGAAATATAATAGAATGATGTGGAGAAGAGGGAGGAAGTAGGGGAGAGGGGGGAGTAAAGGCAAAAAATCGAAAATTAATGTAGGACTCTGAATCTGTTAACAAGGCTTATGTCCACTACATCCTCAGATATCTTTCTAAAGAAATTTCTGGAAAGATGCGGCGGGAACGAGCCAAAAGAGGGAGGGGGGTACATCTTGATTCAGCTGGCTTGGCGGCTGGAAGGCGCGGCTTCGTGACCTAATTAAGAATAGATAGTGATCAGAGAGCACGCGCGCGGGAGAGACGCAGACAGCGTCGCAGGCGCGAGCAGCCTTAATTAGGTCATAAAGCCCCGCCTTCCAGAAGCCAAGCCGGTTGAATCGAAGGTTAGATTTTACAAGGCCTATAAGCAACTCAAACTACTCGGCGATTGTTTGCTGCAATTTTTGATCTCAAAGGAATACATTTTGACGTAAATTGTTCGTATTGCGCATTTTTTTGAATAATGTCAACGTCATTCTGTCGTCGACTACATACGCTCGAACAAGGCATGACAGCTAGACGACATTTCGTAGATTTGCTTACTTTTTACACTGTGACGCTATCTCGAATGACAACACTAAGTACAAGAGATGATATATAGAATGTGGTGCGACTGACAGGGAACGATATCACATGAGTATTTCTAGGGGGTGTGAAGAAGGGAGAAGGGCTAGGGAGAGTGAGAAGCAAAGGAAGAGGCAGCCTTTCATAGGCCATAAGTTAGGGTTCTCCTAGAGTTATTCATCACCTTACTGCAGTGATGACGTGTTATTCCTGTTTTTTATTCAATCAATGAAATTGATTTTAAATGTAAAAACTGTCTAAGTTCAATAGAAGGAAGAATTTTTTGAGTTTATTCTGATTTTCGACTTGCACTCCACGTAATGTTTCTTGTCATAGCGACGTAGATGGGCCAAAAATTGTCTTGATAATGAATGGGGCCTAGCAAATGAATTGGGACTTTGCCACGCCCATTTTTTGCTGATTGAAACTTTTGACCTCTCACTACTTTTGGCAAGCGAAAAACAATACCTTCCGTTATTCATACACCTTTATGATCAATACTTTTGATGTTTTCCTAGAACCTCTGAATATGTACAAATGTTTTCAATGTTTTCAAGAAAGCCACATCCATATCCTCAAAATTTTGTAGGAAAGACATCATCTTCTGCAAGGATGATGAATAGTTTTCTTGCTCCTCGTTGAAGCCTTTTACAACCCGTCTACTTTCGACTTTTGGAAAATTATTTTTTATTCCTGGTTTTTCACAGAAAGCTTTCAGGCGATTGTGCAGTTGATTTGCACCTTGGCATCACCGAAAGAAAGATTCTATTCTTTTCTAATTTGTATACAATGCGTGTTCTCCCCCCCCCCTCCCTTCCACCCCAATAATTTGTGTTATAATATTTTTTTTCCAGGCTGATCAAGCGGTTGAGGTATGCGATGAATCGAAAGTGGTCCAATATGTAAATCGCGCCTATGAAGCCGTTACCGGCTGCCTCAGGGGGGAAGTTGTTGGTGAGTTTTGTGTGATAATAGAATAAATTTTGTTTTGCATGTACCAATAGGAGATATTTAAGATATTATTGACGTCAAAGCTTTTAGCAGCGCTCACATCAAAAAACTTTATAAGGGATATTTCAATTTTTTTTAAAAATTATCCACCTTTTACATCATTTTTCTTTTTCTTCTTCTTATTCTAAATAAGTTATCATTTTCATCGACACTGATACTCAAAATAAGCATTGACGAAAAATTTGCCTGTTCTTTTTCCAGGATAAAAAATCTCGAAAAGACACTTGTAATTCGTAATACTCAACATAACATGCCATCAAATATATGAGTAACAATACGCTAAAATAGCAGATTAATCGTTTTCGTTGCATAAAAAAATCTAGTTGTAAAAATACTGATTACCCCAGCGTAAAAAAATCTGTGACTTATCAACTCGAAATAACGTTTTGAAAAACAGTTTGATTTGTATGAGAAAATTGTTATGTTGGTTTCTCTGCTGTCACAAGTTTTGTGCATTTTTGCATTCAAAAATATGAGCGTGGACTTTCTTAAATCGAAAGGAAAAACTTGTCGAAGAAATCTTTGAATAATACTATGCTGAAAAAAAGTACTTGGGATTTTGTTGATCTGATAGTTACCCTTACAATCAGGGCTCGGCACAAGATGGCTTTAGAAAATGCAAAAAAACGAAGTCCTTTCGAAGTTCGCAATTTTTAAGAGGCTCCTTTGACCCTAAACCCTAAACATAAAACCCTCAAAAAACGAAACCTCGACTAAAAGATGCGTCTTTTCGGCTTCAAAACAAAACCCTTTTGCTTTTCTTCCCAAAAGAGCCTTGCTTACAACTCCTTTTTACCATTCATTTTGAATGATTATGGAGTTATCTCCAGGCTGGTTTTCGAATTTTGCTGCTCAAGCATAGTTCCTTGGAGAAAAATGCGTTAATTGATATCCACTTTTACTGCTATATGTCCTTCGTAGTCCATTTGAGAAAATCATTCATTATTAATCATTTTTATATCATATTTGCCAAATGCTTAAAGTGCATCGTAATTGTTGGAGGAAAGGGCGGGGGGGGGGGAGGGGAAGGAAGGATTATAATGAAAGTTATTATCATTTCGTTTACATAAAACCAAAAACTTGTTGTTTGAGCTGCTTGGGCAAAATGCGAAAAAAAAAAAGAATTTTATTGTCAGCTCTGGGATGACGTTATGCCAGAGTTCAGTTAGAATTGGAGATTGAGAATTACAAGGAATAAAATTTTGGTTCTCCCCCTCCCCCTTTTCCACTTCTCCCCGGCTTGATCTGAGAAATTTGGTTTTTCGCAAAAATTTAAGCCTCAAGCGACCTAAATTTCTCCCCACCTTTGACATTTTGTAGATCTCGCTAGCCCATGCCAATGTTGAGACAGCTATCCCATACCTTGCTTAGGGAGTAAGGGGGACGGTGGAGGGGGAGGGGGGGGGGGGATATATAGACGAAGCATATTTTTTCGACTAACCTTGAATACTAGATCGTTTCGAAAATAAGTGATTTTTGGATTTCCTCAGTCAGGTGTATCACAACCGTGGCTCTCTCTCCTTTTTTATCTTGTAATTTTAATTGCTAGAATTTTCAGAATTCCTTTTTTTCCATTCATATGAATCTGCATTATTAATGTCAAAAATTACCCAACAAAAATTGATGCATGCATCCACTTCGTGACTCATTGCTCGTTCTATGCATCAAAACGCAATACCATTTGCAACGATTAGGTTCTCACGAAAAATCACAAAGAGATATGAAAAATAATTGGGACACGTCACGCATTGTCCGCATCACGGACTTACGTCATTACAATCAGCATATCCGTCTAGCGGGTACATAATGCACTGAGTGACGGGACCCTCTTGTCGCTTTTCTCATAATTTCCATGTCCCTAACGACTATTGGCAAATGAGAGTAAAGTACGATTGAAATACAGGGGATAAATCGATCAATCTATAATACTATCAAATGGATATCAAATGGATGTGTAGGAAATAAAGTGAAAGATACAGTAGACCCCCCCCCCCCCTCCCCTACCCGCAAAGAGGGGTACCGAGGAATTCATGGTGGTCTTCATGAATTAAGGAAATCGTTTGGGTCATCTTGATTGATGATTAATTTTCTATAAAGTTCATGTTTTTCAAGCCACCTCCACCCTTCTTTCCAATATTTTGTTCTTCTTGGGGACCTAAATTTTGGATGACAATTTTGAAATTTTCTTGGTGGGCGTGGTTACTGCCACATTCCTACACCGAGAAAGTCCGTCTTCCCCCCTCTTCCCCCTCCCCCTTTCCTAAAGAAAGCTGTGCGCTCATTACTGGTAAATAAATTTTAAAAAGTTCAATAATTTGACAGCATAATAACGGGGAGATGTTCTGAGATACACAGGTCAACATTGTTCTAATGGCTAGCTCCGCCTTCATCTTTTACCAATTTTCTACTATTTTTTTCTGATTTGTTTCTGCGAATTAATAATGAGCAAATACATCTGTACAAACTCGCAATGTAGTACTTAGCATAAATTTTTTAGAGGTGTAATTTTTGCACGAGAAGGGCAAATTTCATATTCCTGTGATCTTTATCAGAATTATTTCTGAAAATACTTTTTTCATACCTTTTTGATCAGGGTATAGTTTTTATGCTTTTATGCTGATTTCTTCGCGGATATGCGCTGATTCTAAAACACATTCACGACAATGCCGATTTTTCGATAGCTGCCTCGGACCAGAACATTTTTCCGCTGATGGGTCCGATGGTTTGGAGTGTTCATCTTCAGGGTAGTATTCCAAGAGATGTATACAGAAGTTTATTCAATTGCTCAAAATTCCATCGTAAACTATCAAAATCAAAAACTCCAGAAAGCATATGATCCACGGTAGGTCGTATTGTGAAATGGAAGGACACGTACGACCCAGCGGTGGGCCGTATTGTCGTGAATATGTTAAATTTCAATTTTATAGCACAGCCTACTGTTTACAAAGTATTGTATGTATATCCATGTACTCATATTATGTACTTATTTGCTAAGATAAATGTGGTAAATTAAGGTCAACCCGAGTCGGACTTACGGCGGAAATCGTTGCCAAAACCTCGCGACGACGGGATGATGGAACGACGTCGTAGCAGTAGCGATTGGAAATGTATTCGAGTGCCTACCAGTTCACATAAGTGAGTTTTTGCTAAGGCTATTACTGATAACCTTTGATTCAACTGGCTTGGCTGCTGAAAGGCGGGAATTCTGTGACCTTATTAAGCCCGCTCGCGCCCGCTACGCAATCTGCGTCTCTCTCACGCGCGTGTTCTCTGATCATTAGCTAGCCTTGATTAGGTCACGAAGCCCCGCCTTCCAGCCGCCAGCCGGTTGAATCAATGGGTATTCTACCTCACCTCCTCCTCCCCCCCCCCCCTTACCTTTACCATCCTTCAACCATCATCATTTTGCTTTTTTGAATTCATTCAACAAGCAATTTTTCTATCATGAATCCTGCTAGCCCTCCTCCCCCCCCCCCCCCGCGCCTCCCCTCTGGCCCTCCTTCGCCCTCCTTTTCGATTCTTTTCAAGTTTATTCCAATTTCTCTGCCTCAAAACCTCCTCCTATCGCTTAGATCTCATAAAAATAATATAGATTTTTGTGCTAACCTTCTAAACTCAATCATCCAGCAAAACCTCATATTATCTGCCGTCCCGCTGTAGATGAATGGGTAAGAGAAAAAAGATAAATTATCATTCCAGGCATACATAGTGTATAACATACTGCCATTTGCAACCTTTTGCCAGTCTTCTCTCTCTTTCCCTCGATGTGCTACACTGCGCTTTAGAATTGTATAAACTTCTCGAATTTTTGAAAAATTTCGCGAGACTTACAATTTTACAAGTAGGGCTAAACTACGATCAAGTTTCACGAAGAAATGTGGGTTCTTATGTACTTAACCATATTTGCGTTGCGTACGTATGCAGACGCTGCATAGATGGCGTCTACTGCTGCGGCGCGACTGGAAGCGTTACAGTAAGACGGAAATAGCCAGTGTACGTGCCACCACAGTGACTGCAGCTTTTTTGTCTTTGCAACATCGTAGGCTTAAATGTAGCATATTTGCCCCCTCATCCTCTTATTTTTGAGAGGTTGGTTAAAAATACAGTAAGTATTCATACCAATACAATACGTCGCAGGATTTTAGTTCGGGGAGGGAGGAAGGAACCGCTACGCACCTTTACTTGGAAAAATTTTTTCAGGTAAAGGTGCGTAGCGTTAGCCATGCACTAAAAATCATTTGGGTTACATCCCAAATTTTGTGCGCGTCCATAACTCGAAAAAAAGAGCTTCGAAATTTTTACAAGATCGAATTGTTTCTAGAGATCTTCGAAAATTGTTCTAATTATTTACAAACCTATATAAGTCGATTACACATTTGTATGAGTCATGTAAGTACCGTCCAATAAATTCGTGACCCGCTCTTGAGCGGCACTCCGTCTTCCCCCCCCCCCCTCGGATCGCCACTATATAGTGCTCTGTAGCTTTCGTGAAATTAGATTGATTTGTAGCCTTCGTTCTTCCAAATTGGGATTTCATGAATTTTGCAATTTTTGAATTTAACACAAATGTGGCTCAAGCCACTTGAAGAAATTCGTTATTTTATCGAATTTCTTGCATCATCTTTCTCACATAAAAAGTGAGGACTTTACGACAAAATTTTGGGCAAGGGGAAAGTGTACTAATATTTCGCTGTCATAATTTGCAGATATATGAAAGTTAGTTTGTCCACCCGCGGAACAGCCGTGCTCACGCGGATGTTTGGATCAGCGTTGTCATAACACAAATTTTTCGGGAGTCTCAAAAAATTCAAAGCTGTCAAAGCCCAGTCAAAACCTTCCTCTTTGCTGCAAGCACACAGCTGTTCATCTCCGTTTCTTTCATTCTGTTTGCGTCGTCGTCGCTTACTTTGCAATAGAATTAAGCTTTCTCTATGCGAATGCCGCACCTCCAACGAAAATTTAATCAGAAAAACGGGTGCCGATGACATCAGCGGTGACGACGAGGTCTTTCCCTTCCCCTTCCTGCCCACCCCGTCATTTGTGTCTTGTGTTCCGTGTTCGTGAAAAAAATTGTCAGTCGATGGTTCTGACGACCACCGCCAGCACCGCTTGCGCCATGCGGCCGAGTTTGCATTGCCTCAATCGTGACGTAGCGATCACGCAAGCGCTGGTCATGTCACGACACATGCGCATATTTGACGTCACACTCTCCCCCCCCCCCCCCTCTCTCCCTCCCGCCACCCTAGTACCTCTTTTATCTCTCTCGAAAGAAAATTTTTGAAAATTTCTGGCTATCATTAACATTTCTAGTATTTCTTACCCACCTCTTTCCTTTGTCCACCCAAGTCTCGCTGCAAAAGATGAATTCGGGAGCGAGTAAAATGATTTGAAAGCCAGGAGAGGCCCAGGTCGCTCCGCCCATCAACCTGGGTGGTTTGAAGATAACGTCTACAAATGGGCTTTAAGATATCTGAAGTTGTTATGTATGCGCTCCTCATTATGATTATCAGATTTTCGACGTTTCCATCTACCTTGAATCTTGCTTTCGAGCTCATTTTTCCAGACCACCCATGCTGATGGGCGGAGCAACCTAGGCAGCTTCTACCTTCTGGAGCGATTTCCGCTTCGAAATCCAAGTTTTGCAACGGGACTTGGACGATTACCTAGTCAGGAGCCCTGCTATTAGACAGCATCAAATTCTGAGGGCGCTCAATTTAGCTGGACGTTATACTTTTGAGCACACCTTTGAAACTCTCCTGTCCTATTCCTCTCCCCCTCCCCTCTGCTGAACGAAAAGCTTCTGAGCTTTGCTAGCCATAGAATAAAAACCTTTTTCCCACTTGCATATGAAGCCATATGTCGCCAGATGACGTAAATCCTGAATCCTGCACAGCATATTGCTTACAACGCATTTCTTTTGTCTTCGAATGCAATAAAATCGTAAACGATTGGCTGAGAAGCTGGCAGGCAGAGAAAGTGTGCGAAAATTTCGGGGGTATTTGCTGAATTTTTTTATCAAATTTTGCTGAAATATTTGAAAATTCTTGGAGTTTAAATCATGGTATGTGTAATTTTCTTTTTGGAAATTAGCATTGTGCAAATATGGCTCGTTTTTAACTTCACTTAAAAGCATTTGTAAAATGATTTGCAGGTCACCACTGCTCGGGTCAGCTTAATTACATCAACAAAATTAGAGAAGTAAGTAAGGAAAGGAGAAATGTATCGAAACTATGAAGTGAAACAAGAAGATTCCGAAAAAAATTTGAAAAAAGTCAAACTTTACCAAAAATTTATAAAAAAAAACAATAAGCTTATCGAAATAAAAACAATTTTTACTTAGGATTTTCTATGATACAAACCACAGATTGTGTAGACGGGAAAGAAAATCCTGGAAAAATAGCAAGTTTATCAATATTTATGTTATCCGATGTATAATATATATTTGGAAAGAATTTACAAAAACTTTCTGGAGAAATTCCCGCAAAATTATTTCGTAAGGCATTTTACACATTTTTTGTTTTCTTCTGTAAATTTGCACAAATATATCTTACTTTCAATGAGGATTTTGACAAATTTCGAGGGGAGGGGGGGGGAAGCATTTGCACAGATTTTTGTTTTTTTTCGTTGGAAATTTTATGAGGAATTTAACGCTTTTTTGTTCTCCTTTGTAAGGAATTTGTCCTCCAATTTATTTTCAAATGGGATTTCTGCATACTTGGAAGCTTTTTTCTGCTAGAGAGCACGAATTTCCGTTTTTTTTTCTGAAGAAATTTTTCCATAAACTTGGCATAACTGTTTTCCTTTGCAAGAAATTTGTACACAATGATATCTTACTCTAACAAGGATTTTTGACAGATTTCTGGTTTTTACTAGAGAATTGGCACGCAATTTCTGTGTTTTTTGCAGGAAATTTGTTGCATTTTCGTTTTTCTTTGTAAAGAATTCGTGCATGAACTGGAATGTGAGAATTTTTTGGCTCAAATTTTTTCTTTCCAACACGCTTTATTGTTCCTCCAACTCCACTTCCTGTTTTTTCCTAATTGAACAATAGAATCAAATCAACGTCAGTCTGGTTGCTTTGTGTTTTTCATGCAATACACTTAGCCCTAAGGTTACCCGCATATCCAATGCATAATGACGAAATTACCCGCCCCCAAAGGTCTCAATCATTCATTTTGCGTGGAATACGAAGTGAAGTATGGCGCAAATCTACGTAAGCGATGTTTTTGCACCTGCACCAGCTCTTGTCTTGCTTTTTGAACCCGAATTATTTGGGCCGTTTGACTTCTTAGCCAAAAAATAGGGAATACATTGGCAAACAAGGTAAATGTTGTTTTTCTTGATTTTGAAATTTTTACTTCATCAGATTGGCTAAATAAGTTCGTTTTATGCAAATCTTCATAAAAAAATTTTTCTTGTTGTTTTCTATCCGTGATTTTTTGTATAAAAGTAGGTCAGGCTTCCTCTCCCACATATCAAATATTTAGGATTTTCTATCATCAGTAAAGACAGTTATGCTTCAACATGGCCAAACTTCCAAAAGCTCATTTCTCGAATTCCTAAGAATTTCCGAATTCGTGAGCCGTAATAGCGACCAAACTTATTTATTAGCCATTCTGATAAACAGTAATTTTCTTACCTTATATTTACATACCGTTGCTCAGAAGTTGCTCATTGTGAAAATTGCGTTGCTGTAGAAAAAAACCAAACTATGTGGGTCTTAGAATACAATTGGGCAGGAATACTCGTTGCTGAAGATTGTCATAAATTTTTGTTTATCAAATGAAAACGACGAAGTAAAGTAACGAAATGATCCTTACCCTCTTATTTTCCTGTTTTACCTCTCATCACTTTCCTTCCTCTCATACTGTAATAATCATCTTGAAAGGCGCTTATAAAAATTGAAAAAAATTCATTTAGTAAACGAATTATAACTGAATTTTTATCTTGTCACGCAGCGATCTCGACTTTCTGTCAACGGCTTTTTGTTGTGAGTTCCTGTAAAAAGGCTTTTTTGCACCATTACAGTATGCTATCCAGCGTACATACAAGCAAAGGTGATATATGTCCACGTTACTAAAATTTACAAGCAAAATTTGCCTTTGGAAGCCTTTCGAAAAAGATAGAATGCGCCCTGGGCTCGATTTTTTTACATAGATTCTAGGGGAGGGGTTGAAGGGCTTAACACATTTACGACAATACGACCGACCGGTGGGTCGTAAGTTTGACAAAGTGAAAAAGGCTTTGGTCCAGACGGCAGTATTCGAAAAATCGGTCGTGAATGTGTTAAAGTAGTAAAAGTAAGAATTCTGACATTCTTAATTCTCCCCTGCCTAATTCCTCTTCCAGTATCTTTCGGACAACCTAACATTCTACTATGACTTAAACTACGTCAAGACTTGCTCGTGCCAGCGTCGTGCCTCCACCGCCGTGCTAGTCGATCGATTAGTGCGGGGCGCATGCACGTCGATTGCCGCAGCGCTAGCACGGCGTTAGAACGGTGCCGGCACGGCGCTGGCACAGTGAAACACAGGCAACTATGAGCGTAGTCTCACATACCAAAAATCCACAGTTCCCCTATCGCGCACACAATCTATCAAATCCCCATGAATTCTTTCAAAAGTGGTCTACACCCCAATTTGAATACATGACGATTTGTTTAGCTTCCAGCTTCCGCCAGTCTGCGGTTTTTCATTTTTCATTTTGAAATTTGATCTGCGTTTGAGTCATTTGAGCTCAAAATGTTCGTTTCCCGTTGTTGTCCAGCATGTCGGTCTCTAATTGAGCCACTGAGGCGCAACCATCAATGCTGGAAGCGGGCTGGTATCGAGAGAAATGCCCAATGTTTTTCCTTCCCCCCCCCCTACCCCCTTCTTCCTCCTTCACCCTCTTCCCCCCATCTTACGAACATTCATTTTTTAACCAAAGATCCCAAAGCCTGTCTCTTTCATGTCAGAATTTCCGTTATCCCCCCCCTGCTCGTTATCTCTTTTGCATTCGCAGTTTTCTGTAAACCTGTCTTCCTTAGCGAGAATTTTCAGGGCCTGCAGCTTCCCCCCCCCCCTCCCCCCAACCTCCCCCTTCCTTCTACTTCCTACCCTTCATCTTTCTTGAAGTATCTGCTGTATCTTTATGAACCTGTTTTTTTTTTCGAACAAAACTTTCAAACTACTCAATTTTTATTTTCAGCAACCAATACGTGTATATGAAGAGGCGAAGTACCGACAGTAAGTTTTGAACTTTTTCTTCCCCCCCCCCCTCACTTCCTCCCATTGAGATTATTTCATTTCAGCGACTATGTATCGAGATGTATCATTGAAGAGTGTTCGATCACAAGCTGGCCTGGTCGAAGCTCCAATATCGGAAGTAAGACATTTTTTTACATTTATTTTCATTGTTTGTTTATTAGACATTTCTGTTCTTGTTCTAATAGTAGTCTCTTCTATTCTTATATCTCCTTTCCTATTCTAGCACTTTTTCAAAATTGCGCTTTTTCTAACACCTGAGGCGTTCGTAATGATTTTTTTCGTATATCTTTAGTGAAGTGATTCATTCTACTCGTTTGTCGTCACTCGCTAATATCAACTCAATTCCTCGTTTTTCGCAAGCAAAATCGGGTTTTCGCAACAAAACCTGATTTTAAATTGTATGAAAATCTGAAGAAATTTGGGGTGCTAAATCGAAATCTTTTCATCGTCTTTGCGAAGATCATATCATCTGAATAAAATTTAGGTGGATCGGTGCATGTATTGCTCGAGTTTGGCGTTTCTGGCTAACTGCCCTTCTATAGTCTAATTTGGAATAAAGTCCTTTCAAAGTTGCAATGGACATGGGGAAAACTTCGAGATTCCTTTAAATTCTTCAGAATGAGCCTCACAGTCTTTTTATGAAGTGGGAAATGAAATTTAACCAAAACTGTCGAGGAAGATTTATTGTCGTTCCTCCTTCCCTCTCCTCCCCTATTTTTCTACGAAGCAGCTTTGTAAAACTTCGGCTTTTTCCGCCATTTTTTCCCTTTCTGGTGTATTTTTTACACTCATGAAAGGATGCTTTTGAACCGTGATGAGTTGTTTCACATAAAGACAGTGTCCAGGCAGATTCGCACGAGGGATACTGCTATGGTGGGGTTCCGTCTTCCCACTGACCTCCAGGCAGTCCGGCTGGTTAATGTTTCCCCTGGGCCGAGAAAATACCCCCCGAATCGGCGCACGCAACCCCCATCGGCGCGCACTCGGACGACTTCGCTTACCGGTCGGCGCGGGACCCCACGACCGCTCTCTCGCATTTTGCACGCTATCCAGAGCAAAAATCACAGGCAGCAGGGTCTTTGTGCCAGGGCCTCCCAATTATCCGTCGAAATTCTCGTCCGAGCTGCCTTTTGGAAATTGGGTAAACGCCCGGAAAAGGTTTTTTTTACCCACTTCAAGGCTCAGATTCGGGGTCTAAAAAAGGCCCAAAACATGCAAAAAGATGGAAATGCAAAATCTGCCGAGGCACTGCTAAAGTTTGAGTTTTCGGGTTTGTGGGAATTTTCGATCAACGACTGAGCATCTAGGTCAAGTCAAGCATATAACATGTAGAAATAGGGGAAGGGGCAGAGGGTATATGTGGGGGGGGGGGGGGGGAAGGAAGCAGGCGAGTGGATCGTTTATCGGTTTTTCCTTCTGTAATCTTTCAGACACTCTTATTATGTTTCACTTTGCTCAAGGGCGAGAGGATATAGTTAATCCTCCCCTTTAATGACTATTTAATTTCACCCATAATAAGTCTTGTTCATTTTTCTTCTAATCATTCCAAATTCCATTGCGATCTATAAAGCTTCTGTACTAGCGTGCCATTCGCGCTTCTACAGTATCCATAGCTTTTATACATCGTATTGTATAATGTGATGAGATTCAATAGCAAATGGCATTGCACTTTTGCTAGGAGAATTCAAATGCAGATGTGCACATGGATGGAAACGCGAACGCATCTTTAGTATGGCATAAGGACTGCAAAATAAATAGGAGAGGCATTTTCGTACATTGAACATGCAGCTGTTGATAATAAAAAGGGAATGACGAAGGAAGGGGAGGAACGGAGGAGGGGCGGGGGAAGAGAAAAACTGGGATTGAAATCTTTTTTTAAATCCTTAAAGCATACTTAAATGTTAAAAATTCCTTTTCCACTGCTCAATATGCCTTCATAATCTTGTCTTTTCGGCTGTTTTTTTATTTTTTATTTATAAAGCTTTTTTATTTTTACATTTTCATATTTTTTGAATTTTTTAATTTTTTTGTTTTTCAAATTTTTCATATTTCTATTTATTTTTTACATTTTTTCAAATTTTTTTCAAAAACTATTCGATCAATTGAGTGTTCATGTAAAGTTTATCGATTTTTTTCGAAAATTCAAAACAGCAATTCCTGTCCCAATTTATCACTTTTTTCGCAGGTTCTTTCTTTGTTACGGGACGCAGCCGCACGGGTGGAAGGTGATGCTGCACAACTTGTAAAGGAAGCTGTCAAAGTGAGCAGAAACGTATTTTTTCAACTAACAGCTAGAATATCGCTATCAGTAATATTTAGTAAAAAGTAATTCATTGTGCTTATGTGGCTCACACCTAGCTGATTTAGTTTCAAAATTCATTATAATACTTATTTATTGATTGATTTGCTATACGCATAGCTATTTTGAAACGGCCGCATAGCTGTTTTGAAAGTTATTCTTGGAATGCTCGTTTTGCAAGTCGTAATTCACAGATTTTTCGGAAGTGTATACGGTAGCATACGGTAAGAGTACGATAGCCAATATCAACGTAAATCTACCTTTTCAAACATATAGAATAAACATCGCACAGGGCTTATTTGCCCATTACAGTATGCCTACCGTAACCCCCTTTAAGCTGCTTCACGCGGACTTTTTTTTCTTACACCGCTCATTTGCTAGCGCTCCATAATCTAGTAAGATTTTCCAAAAGGTAGCTACGCAATGAAATCTTCTTTGGAGTCTCATCGTCGCAACTCACATGCGTCGCAGCAGGCTGAAGTCTTTGCTTACTGGGCTTTTCCTTCTTTGTAAAATACTGCAATCAAGATCTAGTGGTTCAAACCAAAGTATTTTTATATCTCATTTTATTATGTCCTCTAGTATTTTTAAATAATTTGGCCATTGCGACCCCTTCAGTCCTTCAAAAAATTTTAGGTTCTATCTGCACATGAGCTCTATGCACCATCAATAACACGTTTTCGTGATAATGACAGAATAGCAACGCAATACTATGACGGCCTTATTCGGCTACATCATCCATCGAGACAACGAAAACGAAGTGTTGTCGATGCTTATCGAGAGAAACGAGGTTTGCATCGCTTTTTGTCCGTTGTAGTGCATTTGATACAGTGATTTTACAGGTTCCCATGAGCAACAACGACGACGCGTATCAGCAGATGTAAAAAATGCACTGGAGAACGATAGCGATTATACATTTGATATTTTACAATTGGAGAAAATCACTGAAAACCATGCCCTCACTAATTTAGGAGTTAAGGTTCGTTTCTGGACCTTTTGCACCGCTATGTTATGGTGCAAAACATTTTCCTTGCGAAATCTGCAGTGACGGTTGATTGATTATGACGAGCTGATTGAAATTTGAGTAAGACCAGCGCCAAAAAGAGAGCCTTTTCGGAGTCTATAGTAAGACATATGGTAGAGGTGCCAAAGGGGACATCACTTTGGAACAGCTGGGAGACGGCCATTTCGCACTACAATACCAACAGCCACCCTTTACTTGACGTGTCGCGCACGTGGAAAGCTCCTCCCCCCCCCCCCTCCCCCCACTTGCTCAGGCAAAAGCAGCAGCAGGCGTTTTGAACGCGATGCGTTGTATATAAATGCCCTTACAGCATTACGCGAATTGGCGTAAACCCAAAACACCCATCTCAACCAGTTATCCCTTAATTCTGTTCCATTTTAGATTTTCGAAAGGTGGAAAGTAGCTGATGCGCTTAGCTGTAATGAAGATATCCTCCATCGATGGCTATGCACTATTGAAGCGCATTATCATGCTGGAAATGCCTATCACAATGCTACACATGCAGCCGATGTTCTACAGGCATGTATCTTCAAGTTGAAGTTTTTTTTTGAATAAAGAAAATCTGGTATTCAGGCCACGTCGTACTTCTTAGACTCACCTGCCGTAGCGGCTCATATATCTGAGCATCATGCTGTAGCTGCCATTCTAGCTGCAACTGTTCACGATCTTGATCATCCAGGTATTCCATTTACAACATTACACATTACACTTACACTTACATTTATTCCATTTTTTCATTCATCAATCCAACAGAGAAACGATGACAAAGTAGCGTTCTGCTTCCCATATCTCTGATAAATTCAGCAGCGCAGTTCGTCGCTACATGAAAAGAGCTGGTGTAGCAAGTGCTGTTAGGGTCATCGACATTTCGGTCACCGATCTCAAAAGGCGCTTGATAAAATCGCATATTGTACTTGACCCCAGATTGCGTGGTTCGTCCCTTCAGCAAAGAAGGTGATTGCATAATTTCAGGTGTGGTTTATATCATTACATGTCTATCATGTGGTGATATTTACATTGGTGAAACAGGGCGCCCTCTTTCCTGCCGGATAAAAGAACAAGTGGGCTACAATAATCCAAGTCGAACAATCCTCTGGGCTCGCACCTCATGAAGCGGCACGATAATGTGGCATTTCAAATTGGAGTCAAGATCTTATCTTTGAGCGTGATACTCTAACACGCAAAACTTCAGAGGCGTTATGGATTTCGGCGAAAAACCCAAAAATAAATGCTAAAGAAGAGTACATTGCTATCACGCAAGAGCTATCGTGCTATCAGTCCTTATGCGGATTTGATACAGAACCAGCACATATAAAAAGAGCGGAGGAATGATCTTGTTAAAACGTGTTCAATGCGGCTCTCGAGCTGTCATTCAAGGTTGCTATCAGCTGGGGTGCTCTTTGATGTTACCGTATCTCGATCGAATATCATGGCTTTTTATTGACATCCGAGAGAAGAGATTACGTAAATCTTGACTTTACAGGCTCTGACAAAGACGAAATCGCCGAAACATTAGCCAATAAAGGATTAATAAAATCTTGGTTGTCGCTGAAACATAGCATACACGAGTATTTCATTTACGTTTAGATTAGATGTAGTATACCTTTTGTTGACGCAGAGAAAGCAATTGGGAGTCCTGGGATTGGGAAAGCAATTGGGAAAGTAAAGTTGTTCCTCTTGATTCAGCTATACCAAGATTATTACAGCATTTATTCGACTAACATTTCGGCTTAGTCGTCTTCCTCAAATATCATGAAGTGAAGATTATTGAGAATTAACCTCTCAAACGTCTCGTACTCGCGCGAAAAAGTCCTAGAAGTTGATGAGATTACTGCTAGAATCTGTCAGACGAAGTGAGAGACTACTGCTAGTAAGCGCTTAGCAACTACGCAAGTCTCTGAAGGTTATGCGGAGATCAAAAATTGCATAATGCCAAACATTCTTGTTTTCTGTCAGCTTCGGGAATTCTGCATAAAATTCAAGGACAGCTTGGGGTCTTTCGCGCCTACAACTCATCCCTGACAGAATGTTGACCGAATTATCGAATTCTGTGTCTTGATAGCAATCAAGATGTGTGCCCAAGGGCTGGTAATCTTGATCCTCGCAGTTCAAAGGCAGCGTCCAGGCAGAATCTCAACTTCTATTTTTTGCTCCAGTCTGTTCATGGAGCATTCCATATGTAGCACTCAAACTGCCTGAATTCCTCAAAAAACCCCATTTTTGAGGCAATTTTGTAAGAACGGTTGATCGCTCCTACTGCTATCCTTGTTGAACGCAAGCATTAAGAAGTAGACTCTATGTATTTAATTGTATTTGCCATGTGAGAGCACGTCAAGAGCTGGAGAGAGTTTGTTCAAGGGGCGGGCGGTGCGAGGAAGTGGGCGTGGTCCTCGAAACTCAGCGTTTTCTGCGCCGATTTTCTTCTTTTACAGGGATGTGCAAAAGTCTGAGTTGTGTGGTAGTTCTAAATCGAGGAGGTAGTAGACGGGGTATCTAAAACGTCCAAATCTGCCCGGACACTGCCTTCAATGTTTTCCTTGATCCTGACACAAAGCGGCATTTCCGTCTACATGATGCTACCCACATAGCTTACAAGTGATTAGGTATAAGTTTCAGAGCACATAAAATCGCCGTAATTATATGTTGCTGAAATGAATGCGGCTAGACGGAAACTTTGGCGGGATGAATGCTATAATAATGAGCTGATGGGCTAAGTCATTAGAAACAACTAATTGACATGCCAAGAAAAGTCGAACTTGAAACATCGTGCAACATGTAATTTGTTCAAAAGATGATGTTTATAGTGCACGGCCCTTTTTGCATCTCACACAATCCGCAAAATACCTCTGGGAAAAGCGAATTTATAAAACTTCCGGGGCGTATGCTCCTACTGGGCCTTGTGGGTGGACCCCGCGCTACCTAATTGCGCCCTATCTAGCAGTTCCAATAGGAATATCCTCCCGGAAGTTTTAGAAGTTCAGTTTTCCTCGGAATTATTTTGCAGATTGTCTGAGACATACGCGTATGTTACTGCACTTTGCGCAAAGCTTGCGAGCAGCATTGCATCTCTGCCCTCTACGGCGCTATTTACCAAGCAGTCACAAGAAGTTAATATAAGGGCATCGCGTGCTTTTTACAACTGATGTGTAGCGTATGGTAGCGGTGCAAAAAGATCCAATCAAATTTCAAAAAATTTAGAGAAATGAGAGTCATAATCAGTCTGTATATGGATTGTGTACTGAAGTCATTAGTTTGTAGTAAAGTATATTTGGTGATTATGCGAATTTTTGTGCCATTAGAAATGATATGATTAAAATTCTAAAAACTTAAAAGACTCAGTGGTTGGACAAGTTAAAATTGTCAATCATAATCCAAATTAATGCCCCATGTTGCATTTTGAGGTCATTCAAATTCTTGAAAAAAAAAATCTTTGGTTTTTTCTTATTAGTTTGAGACTGATCCAACTTCTACATTTCTATTATAGGTCGAGGTAATGCATTTCTAATCAATACCCGGCAATCGCTTGCCGTTTTGTACAATGATCACTCGGTGCTTGAGAATCATCACGTAGCGTTGGCCTTTCAACTTACTTTACAGCAGAATAATAATGTGAGTCATTATCTGGTAAACCCCTCTCCCCTTCCCTTCCGCTTGGAATGAAAGACAGATCTTTTAGGTCAATATATTCTCTAATCTTTCACGTGAAGAATTCACATCGATGCGACATGCAATGGTTGAAATGGTGCTGGCAACGGATATTAGTAGGCATTTCGAATATCTCGTCAAATTTAATAAGGTTTGTTTGCTTTTTTATCCTTATGGGGCTGTGCTAGAAAACATCAAACGCTTTAGATGAATGTCGTTGATGTGCCGGATGATGCAAGGGAGGGTAATTCGATGACGATATGCAATATGTTGGTGAAATGTGCCGACATCTCAAATCCAACCCGGGAATGGTCGCTTTGTCAAAAATGGGCTTATCGAATCGTCGAGGAGTATTTTGATCAAGTAGGTTGAACCTGAATATTAATATGTGCCTTGGTCCCAGCACAGAAGTCTGGGCTTCATGATAGAGTTCGATGCAAGGGTGGCAAATGTCAACTTAAAATCGTGAAAATTATGAAAAAGTTATGGGGAAAAAGCAATAGGGGTACCGTAATTTCACAATCATGGTATGCACATACCATTTTCTGAACGGGCTACAACATTATCAAATGGCATTTACAAGGCCAATGCAAGCGTGAGGAGCGAAGCCTCCAGCATTCATAATTTTCACATAGATCTGTTCTACACCTTGTTTACTAATAGTGAAAATGTGGTTACAAGCTAGAATTCAAGATCCCAACGTTAGCAGCTGATTGCAGACGCTAGAAAGGAACAGCGCTCCAATCAAACGCCTTACGCGATTGATTGACACAATCAGGCACAAATTTTGAAATCTGAAGTTTGGCAGTGTTGTGTACCTACTTCCTTTCCCGTAGGTGCAACAGCTGTGCCAGAAGTAGCGCTAAGCACGTTTCTGGCTTGAGCATCCTTACTAGCTTCTTCGACCAAAAATTCTTATGCAAGGCTCGCGTAGCTCCCAGACAAAGAAGTACAGTCACTTTCAATTTATTTGCAAGGACGCTAGGTTGACTCGCGACCGCCACGCAAAGAACAACAGAATCGTTCTTTTTACAGTTGCTGCTACCCTTGGTCTGCGTCTCTGATTTGAGGCAGACGTGCCCAATATGTAGGGACATGAATAACATTTTGATGTTAAGATTGATAGCCAAAATGTTCTGCCAACAAGCGTTGTACATCGCAAACATGTTGTTTCACGTTACCAGCTTGTTAGCCATGCGGCGGCAGGTCAGGGACGCGGACGAGAGCACAGCAGCTGTAAGGGCTTGAGACTTCAGGCGTTCAGACCGCGCACAAAAGCGAACAAAGGCGCACGAAGGCGCATGGAGGCGCACAAAGGCGCACGAAGGCGCGTGTGAGTGTGTGTGTGTGTCGAGATAAACGAGACGAGACAAGACGCGCCTTCGTGCGCCTTTGTGCGCCTTTGTGCGCCTTTGTGCGCGGTCTGAACGATTCCTAACACGGACGATATTATCGTGCTAAACCCGTGTCTCCATCTCCTCATTGTCCTCTGTCTTTGCGGTGGGACAGTGATCAGAGAGTATGTTTGTGTACAAGGTGCAGAGTCTAGGCGAAGCGGCCGCGCGGGAGCGGAGATGCTGGTGCTGACACGTTGCAGTTGGAAGCCCTGTATTAACGTTTGAAAATTTCGCAACCCATTCTTCGGGAAGGGGGGGGGGGACTCGCGCCTTCGTCGCCACTGTTATGATATACACCATGCATATACTATACATATGACTAATCCGTATCCTATTGTCCGCAACTACGGCTAACACAGCGTGCGCGCTAATGAGTCGTAGTGCGCAAGCTAGTTTACTGCGTGAATTGTGCATACGACGTCAGCAAAAAGCGTTTTTATTAATCACTACCTTTGCTTCAAAAATTCAGTACTCTGAATCCTGACTAAATTGTGTTCAGACAAAAGAAGAGCGTGAAAAAGGCCTACCAGTAACTATGGAAGTGTTCGATCGAAAAACTTGTAACGTTCCTTTGACACAATGTGGTTTTATAGGTAAGCGGAACATTCATACTCCTTCGCATACCCTTTCACCAATCAGCAAGGCTGATTTTCAGATATGTTTGTACGCGAAGCCTTTGTGAATTTTGCCGAGTTTGCTAACTTGGGTCATCTGTCAACACAACTCGAAGCTAACTATGACCAGTGGAAGAGCCAATCATCATCATGGACGCCGTCCAACAATCTCGCCTTACATATCTGATATTTTATTCTCAAAGCATGTAACGCTATGACTCACATATATTGGGACAGTGCCAAAAGTATCTGGCTAATTTCTTGAATCGCTGCCAATTCTTATCACTCGGCTCATGGTTCTCTCTTTCGTCTAGAAAGCTGTGACTTAATCTATTCATTATTTACTTACTCAACCTCTAGTGTATATTTAGTTTTCCAATTTTCACTCGTACCTGTTCTTTTAACTACTAATCAAGCGTCCCGGATCCCGGATGCATTCTGCGTCTATACTCACACTCACTTTGTCGCTTCATCTCTTTGACTCTATGTGTACTTCTCTAGCCAACATTCTCTCATTTCACACCGAGAATCCTCTCCCCTCTCCTCATCTCATCTGTATCCCTTTTATACGGTGAATTGTTGAATGATGGCTAAAGAGTGGTGTGAATTAATAGTAGCCGTTATATACGACTGTTGTTTGGTTGATTTATTTTCATTGCAAATCAGGTTGTTGTATAGTTTTTCTTATCTAATGATATTGCTTTCTCCAAGGGTTTTTTCGTCTGTCTAGCTTTACCGTTTTGCCTTTATCGTGATAGCTTTTCCTCGTATTCGTTGTTTTTCTCATGCAATACTCTGCGCTTTGAATCAGCCTGGCTTTATCGAATCCTCGTCCTACCTTGCTAGTCCTGTGCGCTTCTATGCAAGCATGTTCACTCTCACTGCCCATGCTTTATCAGTTTCTTTTAAGAATTGTCAATGCATCTAGTCATCGTTTGAAAACAACGACTAAGTCGGTTCTGGTCAATATCTTATCATTTTTACAAACTCCCGATAATATATTGTCAGTCACTAATTCAGTCTTGCTAGTCGTCCTCCAAAAACTGTCACCACCGACGCTCATTAGGCGAATTTTTTGAAAATCTGAGGAACAGTAATCTTGCCAGTGGAACGCTATTTTATCCTAAATGTGATTTAGTGAATTACTGCATGATCTTGATTACTAGTTTTGTCTGAACTTAAACTGTTAAGTTATTTTTATCCTCGAAGTAGTCAGAGGCTCGGCTTTTTAACGAGCTATCACCCCATTTTGCTCACTGTTTATCATACATTATCGAACTTTTGTTTGTCTTGCCATGCATCATTTTTCAGAGAATGTACTTTATCTTTAAGTCTGTTTCAAATTTTTGTTAAAAACTATTTATTGAATTGCACTGGATTGTTTCATCTACCGTGTCAACTATAGAAATTGAGAAATTAGGCACAAGAAAACTCATACACAACAACTTTCAGACACAACGCTTCTTTTATTGTATTTGCGTAGGTCTAGGTGAAGGAAACTAAAAAGACAAACTTTGCAACGCAAATTGCAAAAAGTGAGTCATTAGGTGAGAGACTACTTGTTCAAATAAGCAAGCAATAAGCACTGAAAGTAAAGATTTTAAATCTACAGGCCGAAGGCGCAAAGGCAATATCAATTAAGCTGGCGCGAACGAGGCGCATATGTATCTTTAACGTTATAAACCTTGCGCTTCACGCACTCTGCAGCTAATGAAATTGCCCACCCCTGTCTTTGTTATAAGAATTCTCTTTGAAAAATTTCCAGATGCGCGCAATAATTCGTGGAGGAATTTTGGCCGAGGTTCTCATCAAGTTTTCTTTTATCAAATCAAGTAATGATTCCAAAGAGCGTTTTTTCCTTTTAAATAGGCTAGAGAGAGAAACTGTAGGGTCACCAGGGAGTTGGAAGGACAAATATTATTTGTTTGAATATGTCCACCTGAAGTTTGACGTGCTGCAAAAAAAGCAGGTTTAAGTCTATTTTATGTCATGCTCCAATGATAGCTTTTCCACATTTTCCTGTTCCATTGTAGCCCTTTCGACTTCGGCTCTTACTCAGACAATCGCTGGGGGCAGGCGGGCACAGGAAAAATAAACTGCCGATTTCTCGCACCCCGCTCGCGGTTTTTTTGGAAAGCAATCAGAACTTTTCGGAAGACCGCTTGCTGAGTCAGCGGATTTTTGAGAGACCGCCTGTTGAATTTTTTTCGCTCTTATTTTTTGCAGATATATTGCTGAATCTCTGAGAAATCGAGAACTCAGCAAGCGGTCTTCCGAAAAGTCCTGACTGCTTTCCAAAAAATCCGCGAGCGGGGTGCGAGAGATCAGCAATCTATTTTTCCGGTGCCCGCTTGCCCCCGGCGATTGTCTGAGTAGTTATATTTAGTCTAGCTCCTTAACTAACCGCAGTCGCTAAGATCCGAAAACAGTTGTATGAGATTTTGAAAAAAGCATTGGAAGTAAACTTTGAAGGGTTGTGGTACTTTCTGGGTTAAAGCAAACAGTATAGATCCTGTCTAGAATTGCAATTTTGTAAAACTCACCTTCTGGACAGTCAAAGAGAATGATGCTTCTTCTACTCGTTCAATCTCAACTTCACCAACTCTTTCTTTCCCTCTCTGGTCTACCTGGAAGCAATAAGTCTGTCCTTCCAAACCCATCTCACTTGATTTGCTAAAATGTAGTTTGGTGAGGATGGAAGAGGGAATCATTGCGCGCAATTTGAAGAATATTTGGAAAAGGTTTGAAAGGGTTCATATGCTTTGCCAAAACGGAGGCGTCCCTCTCAAAAATCTGGATCAGATCTTGTACAAATTTTTTTGATCAAACAGATGAAGCTAAAGCTTTTGTATTCATTCAGCCCTTGCGCTGAAAATTTTTGTTTCGCACCACAATTCATGTGGACCACCCTGTACCGTCTCATTTTCTGAATGGGATAGGGGATTGGGGTGGATTGGGGTGGTTTTTTCATGCACATTCTGGCAAGCATGTAGATACGCTTCGGACTGCTCGTTCTTACTTGATCTTTTTGACGACAATTTGTTAACTTTGCAATAAAAAATTTGCGCTGGGACTCTGAAACTAGATATGATCCGATCTAAAACCCATTTTTCAAATCTTAGGATCGCAAAATTTTTTGAGCTCAGCCCATCAAATGCCTGCAACCTTTTTTTTTTCAAGAGTTCGTGCACTTACTACAAACCTGTTCATTGCATCCCAGCCTTTTCCTGACTTTGATTACTTCTTTCCAAAGCACCCTGCTCATGCACGCTTTAAACTCTCTTTTGGAACGCCCTGGAATGGTTTTTTTTGCAGGGAAATCTGTGCAAAAAGTAGGAAATAAGTTTCCCAACCGCGAGCATTCTTTCCGCTCTAAAATTATGGCTTTGTACCTGCAAAGAATGGTGTCGCAACCAGGGATTGAACCCAAGAATATCATCCTGGTCTTGAGCGTTCTTATTTCTTATTTCTATTTCGTTCTTATCATGAATCGCAGAAGGAAATCGTATCTGCCATTAAGAAAATCGTATCTGCCAAAACTGAATTATTGTATAATGATCGAATATAACGACTAAAGTGAATTGCTTTGTCTTTCTGAATTCTCCTTAGTTCGTATTTTGTTTATAATCCAGCATCGAGGCAGGTTACAATCTAATTGTGGGGTCAGACTAGAGTTGGTGTCCTTTTCGTCACGACCATACGCAACTGCAGTACAGTACAGCAAAATTTATTTTGGGGGACTTGCGCAGTCAATTTTATCTCCATTGTAAGACTTTATTCCTCTGACTTATGATTTACAGCTGAGTTCCATTGGCATCCTCGGAGGTGATCGTTCTCGATGCAGCTAACCGCAAAATCATGGAAATGGAAGAGGGAGGATGAGGAAGGGGGGGGGGGGAGGGGGGAGGGAAGGGAGTCATAGGAGTGGGAATACACCTTCAAGGGGTGGTGGTCATAAGAGAGGGTCCCGGATTGCATCAAAACGCCTGACCCTGGCACCAATCTGTACAAGTCGTTTGTTCATGAAGCTTATTAGCTAATTACAAAACGCGATTCCTCCTCAAGCAGCGTTGACACGCGCCAGCCACATATTTACAGGTACAAACGCTGTTGTCATCATCTTATCACGACTTATGGGACTAAAGGTCAATAAGTGGTCCTCATTCAACATTACAACACTGCCTCATTTGCTATTGCTGCTGATTATTATAATATTCTTAGCAGATTATTACATGAATAGTTTTGATGGTATGAGAAATGTACCGAAAAAGAAGCGCTATGAAACAACACAATTATCAAAATACTATAGTAGAACTAAAAATTTATCAACGCAAAAGAACTCCGAACTTTTCGAAATGAAAATCGTAGAAGAGTTCAATACCGATGTAGGTGATCAATCAAAGTTACGCGAACCTGACTTATATATTACAGCCGCTCCCAGACAGGACCGACACAAGAACCGCGGACGAAATGTGTAGCAATTACTCGGATTACTATTGCGTACCACCACTAAGGAGATACGCAGCGGATTTTCGAGTCAGTCTGACGAATCTTAGAAGCGTGCATGTAGCTACAACATGCTTCACTTGGCTGTCTTGATTCGGCACATTTGAGACTTCGTATTATTAATTTTCACCAGTTAATCAGTTGTATCCTCTTTTATTGGGAGTGAGAGTGATGGGGCTCGTGCGGCTTTAGCCCTGCGCAGCCGCCTCGCCTAGACTCTGCAACTCTTAAGCAGGCTTTTTGACCATTTTCTCAACTTCAAGCGAAGAGGTCGCCTGGGACCTAAGTGAAGTTCTCATCAAGCAATGAAATACAGGGTGTCCCAAAAAATGTATCGAACGTTTGATCGTTGATATCTCTCTTTTGAAGAAGTCTTTTCCCTTGCTTCAGGTACCAACCTGTAAAGCTGGCTTCAACTTAGATTTGCATTATAGAACGAATCACTCATCCCTCTTCATTACTGTAGGATTACGGTAGAAACTTCAAAAAGGGTTTTAAGCAATGAAAAGCCATATCTTGCTTCAAAAAAGAAACAAAACAGCCTGAAAACTTTTACACTAGGCTAATTAGAGTTGCTGATTATAACTGTAAAATTCCCAACTTGTTATGATGCTTCATTGAAGTGTTATGCCAGGTAAGAGGTAGCTGCCATTTTCTCAATGTTCTTAAAAAGTGCGATTAAACCGTTTAGAAAGCTTCGTAATCTTGTGATTAGTTGAGTATTGAACTCAGCGTGCATGAAAACCCTATTACATATGTTTTCACATTTTTTGAAAAACTTTGAAAAGGCAGCTTTTTCCACATTGACACCATATGTTTCAAGTTTCTACCGTAATCCTACAGTAATGAAGAGAGATGGATGATTCGTTTTATGATGCAAATCTAAGTTGAAGCCAGCTCTACAAAACGGTACCTGAAGCAAGGCAAAAGACTTCTTGGGAAGAGAGATATTAACGATCAAACGTTCGATACATTTTTTGGGACACCCTGTAGAGAGTAGAAGGCAGGCATAGATTTGTGAGTCAAGTTGCTGCGCAAACAGTTAGGGTTGCGAGCCCGCAATTTCAGGCAACGTTTTCGGATTATTCCCTTGTGAGGCTCCCGCCAGAGTGCCGAGACCACGCTAGCGCTGCGCCGGCGCCGAGCTAGCGCCGAGCTGTCTTGGCGCTGTTTTGATCGATACTCGTGCATTTCGTTCGGGGAGGGGCTAGCTGACTTTGTGCCGGCAAAAGGCTACCGGAGCTTTTAACAGAAATGTCGATCAATAATCGGTGCATTTATTCGGTTGAGAACGAAGTCAGCTAGTCCGGCCCAAACGAAATGCACGTGTATTGATCGAAACAGCGCCGGGACAGCTCGGCGCGGCTCGGCGCGGCTCGGCGCCGGCGCAGGCCTGAAATGGCTTTGACACTCTGGCGGAAGCCTGACATGTCTTGATGTGCGGTGCTGAGATAAACGTCGGGGTAGTCCCATGTGCAGCAAAATTTCTGCAAAATAAGCGGAAGGAACACCCGTTTGTTAGGTTTATACTTTCAATTCGCTAGCTCGGCGCTGACTCGGCGCCGGCGCAGCGCTGGCGTCGCTTCGGCACTCTGTTGGAGCCTGACAGAGTGTAGACTGCTCAAATGCGCATTTCCTCTCCAATAAGTTCCTCTTTGTCTTGACGAGACTCTTATTGTTAGCACATTCGTCATGAATTTAGATAGCACCGAAGTACAAACTTTCTATATGTGTGGTACATAAAAGCATGTCAACAGTAATGACGGCAATTTTCTGCTTGCTCTTTGATGAAGATGGCTTTCGTGGAAGCGGAGTAAAACTTCTCAAGCAGTTCTGGCCTGCCAGGTGAGGTTTTTGCAATCTCATCTCACCTAGGGCAATCACA